TTTTTATTTAGAAACCTTATTATCAAATAAGTCACAGAGAAAATAAGTTCAAATATTCAACACTTTACTGTTTTTTTTTGTATACGATTTCTCTTCTGAATAGTGGATATTGAGATTAATGCTTGATCCTCTCTTTTTCTTAATATCGAGACTAATCTAATCTTGTACTTGTATCCTGAAAAGTGTATAAAATTCGACCAATCAGAGTCGCATATATGAAGCCGATAAGTTTGAAATTTTGCGCGCCATTTGAGATAATATATTCAAAAATTGGAAGAATTATAAAATTAAGAATTATAAAAATCGGTTTTTGATTTTTCTTTACTATATCCAAGAAAAAACGGTTTAAGAAGAAAATCCAAAGTGTGTACTCAGATACTCAGATTAAGAAATCGGGATTAAAGATATCTCATTCTAAAGTTTTCAGCTCTGTTATCTTTCATTATATTTTACTTTCTTTTAAATTTTTTACATAATGAGTAGCAGACCCCCTAGATGACCAAAGCCGAGAGCATTACGATATCATTGGACATTATTCCCATTCAAAATGGATGAAAAAGGCCTTTTTACCAAGTTTGTCTTCAAGCGAATATTTGTTGAAACGGACTAAAGACAAAATTTAATTGAGCTTCAATTTGCATAGGGGTGGGTTTGATTCACTTCGATACCTTTTTTCTTTTTCTGTGTATTGAAAACGGAGATATCATTATTTTACTCAATGAAAATATGCTGCTAGGAAATCTGTATGTACACTTGAGTACAGCGTGAAGTGTGAACTCAGCTTGTAAAAATTAAATGTTATAGATAAAATACGCACATAATCAATCAAATTTTGTGTCTAGAAAAATGTCTAAATTATCATCCTTTGTTGAAAGTTGGTTTACCAGCGAACGAAACGTTTCGCGAAAAAATGCGAACATTTTTGGTCATATTTCGCATTGTTTCGGGAAGAAATGAAGCGAAATTTTGCGAAAAAGCAAAAATTTTCGCATTTTTCGCGATCGAACGAAATACGAAAATGAAGCGAAATGTTCGCGAAAAATGCGAAATTTTCGCTAAACGGTATTGTTATTAAAGCGATTTAAAATCTTTCGAACAAACTAGAAAAACATTAGTTTTTTACTAAACGAACGAAATAGATGGAAAATGAACAATAATTTTGAGAACGAACAAAATAAATTTTTATTAACGATTGAAAAAAACGAACTAAATAGGTCGATCATGAACTATGAACGAACAAAATGGAAGAAAACCAAAAGCGCCCATCTCTACAGTAAGAAGCATATATTATTATTATATTGTTTTAATTTCGCTTAGATACAATTTTTGGTAATTAAAAAGTGATTCTGCACTACATTTAACAATATATACCAACATTTTTCACATGTTCATCATAACTGTTCTTGAATATATTTGAAGACTAGCCTTATATTTAATGAAGATAGAATTTTGATGGAGACAAATATTTGAATTTTTGATCATTCATAAACCTTCCCTGTGGTGACTGGTGACGTGATGTCCCACAAAAAATTTGGGCCCGATCGGTTCAGCCGTTTTGACGTTTATTGGATACAAACAAACAAACAACGAATTTTGATGGAGACAAATATTTAAAATTTCAATCATTGATAAACCTTCCCTGGGGTCCCTAGATGTCCCACAAAAAATTTGGGCCCGATCGGTTAAGCCGTTTTGACGTTTATTGGATACAAACAGACAGACAGACAGACAGACAAGCCAAATTTATATATAGATTTAGACTCTTTTAATTAGCCCGGCAAACTGTTCCGTGGGTTTATCACTCTAGCAGAAAAAGTTTTTTTTAGAATTCAATTTCTTTACATTAATATTAAAACTACAATTGGATTCTCTGTATTGCATGTCTGCTAAACCAGGAAGATTATTCAACATTAAAAATTCGGTGATGGTGATGGACCAAACCTCTGTAGAGTACAAAAAGTAAATGTTTGTTCCACATTTATTGAAAATATATTTCGGTCTGGGTTGATCATCGTCAGTTCTATAACGATAAAATAACCATCAAAATCAAAATTTTGTTAAACCAGTAAATCTAACCCTTGCACAAAAAATTAAATACATGACGGTAAATTTGACAAAAGCTGAATTAGAACTTGTTCTTCAAAACCTTAAACGAGAATTTTTTCAATCTCTCGGGACAACCCATAGAAAACAGAGTTCTGGAACAATCAAAATTTGGAAAAAAGTTTACCCCATCCTGCAAGTTAAATGTTAAAAAAGAACCTAATAAATTTGATATTCCTTTATAAAAAGCTGTTTTTTTGATATGCAACAATTTTCATTTAATCCCGCCGGGATATTTTCATTGAAAGATACTTTGAAAATCTACAAAGGCAAAAAAAAATCCGCAAAATCCACTAGCCTTACCATTGAATCCCCTCTTTGTCTGAGAGTAAATGATACGTTGAATTGTGTTGTGTTCAATGTTAAAAAGAATATTTGGGGAAGCAGCGGTAAAAATAAAAACAAAAATTGATAAGATTGCGGAAAACAAGTCAAATAAAAACCAATGAAGAAATGTCTAAAAATCTTCTATCCTCAATGGAGAAGCATACCAAAGCTAGTTAAAGGAATTTTTTGAACTATACATGAAATCAGAAAATCGGATTTTGAAGGTCAAACAACTGAGAAACCCTTGAGACAATTTTTGAATAAAACAGAAATCAAATGAGATTTTTGAGATCTATATTCAAATTGTAACAATGCATTGTTAAAAGCTGAAAAAATTGCTGAACTATAACAAACTTTAATAAACTATATTCTAACCCTGATGAAAGTGTCAACATGGGACATTCCTATTTAAAGGAACCTGAAGGGGTTTTTTAAACTTTAAATGGGGTTTCGATAAGTGACAACTCAGCAGCAAGAGGGAGTGAGCTAATACTAAGAATATACGAGTTAAAAATTTTACACCGGAGTAAACTATATAAACTTTTTAACAGGGACAGAGTGTCCCAATAAACATAGGAATTCAGTGACGAATTCGATATCGTCTTTGTTATTAATTTGCATTGTAATACCTGATTATAAAAGCCATAATATTATTATGTCTGCTCGAGTTCATTTTATGAAAAGGGGAAATGGCTGTAAAGATGTGTAGCTATATTGGTTTTGCAATACGAACAGTGGAGACGGACAACTATACTCTGTTCGTAAACTGTAATTTTCTTGTTTTACTGGGTACACCCTTATGCAGTCAAAACATAAACAAATTGTAAACAAAGCAGGCTAAATTCATACTGATTACAGTTTTCTCAGTAGGTATCACTATACTAAATCAAAGAATTATTTGAAAAGACCATATCGAATTCGTCACTGAATTCTTATGTTTATTGGGACACCCTGTACTTAAGATTTCGTTACGATGTCTCTATACAGGAAGAATGGGATACAGACCAAAAGTTGAAAGTTATAAAAATAATCACGAGTTTAATGTAGAGTCAAAAGTTATTTTTGGTAAATTTCTAAGTATTAAAATATTTAATTTCCCAAATGAGAAAAATCCAATAACAACGATACTGAGAAAACCAAATTCAAAATATGACATGATCCCGTTCAACTCTAATGTGAGTCCAAAATATGAAAAAATAACAGGTTTGGGATATTTTAAAACAAAACAAAAACATACATGTTCAGCGAGTTCAGCAGAAGAACAGAAACAACAATAATTATAGTTGAAACAATTTTTAGTAAAAATAGTTTTCCAAGCCCACGATTAAAAAAACTCGGGAAAACACGGCTTAGGTTAAGCTGTTGTTGGGCCTTATTTAAGGCTTGAGCTTTCGGATTCAAAGCTGCATATGATTTTCCACAGAGTTGAGTTAAAAAAAAAACCGGTTTAATATTCTATTTGGCGGATTTTCTTGGTAGGAATTGGTGCATTCTGGGTTCTTATTGGAACAAGACTCAACATTGAGCATTATTCTCCAATAAAACCAACCAAGGTCGGTTTCATTTTCATAGTGCCTAACTCCTTATGTCGAGCGGAAGATCTTGCAGCTGTCAATCACGTGCCACAAGCTGTCGTCAGAGCTTGGCACACGTTTGGGCCCTTATAGCCCCCTTCTGAATACGCCTCTACTCTACCTGTACCCTTGGATATTCATTAAAATTTCAGAACAAATAATCGATCATTCAAGAATATGTATTTATTGCTAAATAAGAAAGAAAACCAAGAATTATGACGAATATAATACTGAATGAATTAAACCCAAAAATAAAAAGAAAAAAACATAATTTTAGGATGGGGTCTAATTAGAAATCATTTAGGAATAAGATTAGAAAAATAGTATGTTAATATGTAGTTACGATAGCAATCAATGAATAAATATTAATAAAATTATTTTAAGATTATTTTCCCTCGACCAAAACCTGGATTTGTAAGCAGAGGAAAACCGGTTATTTAATTTGTACATAGTAGATATAAAACTGAATAGAGTAAAAAGGGGGGGGGGGTTAGGGTATCAAAAAAAACGTCGAAGCAAAATTAATAAGTAAAAATCGACACTACAAAAACTGGCATTGGTAAAATATGATTTAGACATAAGTTTTAATAAAAATCTCGGATTGAATTTAACAAAAAGCGTACAAAAATATGTTGATGATTTTCCCTCACCTCGGCTTAATTTCTTTGGCTATGTAGAACCATGTGTCTGTAAAACAATTCTAAGGGTTTATACATTATTTTTTAACAAATCTGTTTTCAGAAAAACGACTTTTTAATCCTTAAAATTTAACATCATTTGATTATAAAAAAGCTGAAGAAAAACGAAAAAATGTAATAAGTTCTGCCTTTTTGTAATTATTTAAGAATTTATGGAGAAAAATTGACTAAAATTAAAATGAAACCGAGGAAATAAGAATACACCCCTGTAAACTTTAAAGGAGAAGGCGGGATAATAATATGTTTTAACATTCATTATAATCATGCTTTTGTGACATAAACAAGGTAAAATAATAGATCAGTATGCTATGATATTAGTATTGAAATGCTGATAAATGTTTGGAATGGTTTGGTAGAAAAATAGGATCACGAAGTTTCATGTAAAATAGTACTTTTAGGTTGGTGGCAGTCTTAAGTCTGCTTTATGCAGGGGTCACCCTGTACACGTGTATACGCAGTACAATTATACACTGTACAGGGTAGTTATCATCCCAGGGTTCTAGGGAATTATTTGAGAGAACAAGAAGCAAAGATTAGTTCAGTATTTTAGCACTAAAATTCAGGTTCTTCAGTTGTCATTTTATCTGGCATCATTAAACGCTGGTTTAAGTTCAAACTGAGCTCGTTCGTTTGATTCTTGGAGTTCAGTTTGAACGTGTTCAGGTTGACGTGTTCACAGGATGATGTTTAGTTTTCGAACTCTGATTTGGGAAGGATTGAAGGGTAGAGCAGATATAGAGATATGTTTAGAAGAAGGTTTCTTTTCTAGGTTGCAGTTGAGGGATTTTACTGGCAGAGGTATGAGAGGACCTGTAATATAAATAAATCGGAAAAAGGGAATATAAGTGAAGTTTCAACGGAATCTCCATGCAAAGAAGGCAAAGCCCGATTCACAACGAAACCTAACAAAGAGACTATTACTGTTATATCAAGTGACCCTCCATGCAAACTGCAACGAAAGGAGTGTCCGATTCACTATGATACCCTTAAAATGGTAGTATGAATTAAATATCAATGTTTTGGATTATAGTCAATTGTGGTTTTTCTACACAAGTGACTTCAGGTAAAAACACTTTACAGCCTAGTAAAATGACAACATCTTCCACAATATTTAGGTTGTGAAGCGGGCATTGCTTTATTTGCATTGAGGGTCACATGAAATTTTGTTTGCAGTCCTTTAAATAAACGGATCTAATTGACAATATCTTAGTAACAAATATATCAAACTAAATACTTTTATCATATTTTTGAATCAATTAATGATTAATTAATAATGAAATTTTCCGAATAAAAAAGGGCGAGAAAAAATGAAATTAAAATTAACCTTGTATTTCTGTTCTCTCTAATCCTGGCAGGAGAAGAGTTATGGTTGGTTGGTACACCGAACTAAACAAGATTATATATATTCATAGGGACAATCTCAGGGGTGTATATTTTCATCAAAAATCATTCCCCCGTTTGAAGATTATTTACCTCTCCCAGAAGAAGGTATCTATTAGGGTATTATTGGCTGAGTGGTGAAAATAAATATTTTTTTGGGTAAAACGTAAGAAAAAGGATTTAAAAGGTTGACTTTTCAATTTTCATGTCCAATTTTTCATTTTTCTCCCTANATCTCACAAAATCATAATTTATAAAAATTATTTTCTTTTCTTTTTTCTTAAAGTTGTAAACTTGTCGCCAAGAACTATCAGTTAAGAACTAAGCTAAAAAGGACTTCACTAGATAGACTTTTGAATTTAAGAGTATAGGGGTTGTAAAGGGGTTGGTATATATCTACCTGTAAAGGGGTAGGTATATATCTACCTGTAAAGGGGTTGGTATATATCTACCTGTAAAGGGGGTAGGTATATATCTACCTGTAAAGGAGTTGAAGGTGTTGAGTGTATCGAGTACTCATTATGTTGAGCCACCACTTTACCATCCTTTATACTGGTATCCGCACATTCATACTCTTCTACACTATGTACCACTCCCTACATAAAACAATTTTAACAGTTTGCAATGCTAGCGAGCTTTATGAAGGATTAAAGGTAGCACCAACAAATTTTTTACGAAACTTATTTTTACAATTTTAAAACTATTAATTTTAACTTGCACTAACGAGGAAAGCATTAAAACAGGAAAAGGAAGACGACATTTCAGAATTCTGTTGTTTAATTAACGTTGATACAAGGCAACTAGTTTAACCAGTTGTTTGTTGAGTAAAATGGTTCTGACTTCACTGCACAATTGCTATTTAAAATTATAGTTTATAACTGTGTATAACCAGTTATTATCCTGTTTTAAAGTTTAGTGGATCCTTTTATAATCAAGTCATAAATATTTCATTTTTTAAATTTAGATTAAAAAGTACAAACTTAGGACCATTATGTTTAAATATCTTTACAAGCATAATGCCGAGTTAAATATAAAGCCTGAACCTGATTATCTTTACTATGTTCTGAGAGAACCATTGTATGTGTACTCCGGTGTACTTCCTCAGTAGAGTTCACCTGAACAGTACACAAAATTAATGCAATTAGTACAATTAACCCAACTTATCTTATCATTAAACAAATAGTACAAGGAAACAGCGCTAGCTGTACAGTACACAAAACCAGTGCAAAACAAAACTTGGCAGTTATAGCAGGGTTGGTATAAAAAAACACCCAAAAAAAACCACCCAAAGAAACCCAATAAAACCAACTTGTATAGGCTGAAACCTGAGAATCTCAGGAGCTGGTGAGACCTATAAGAGTTCTATATGATGTTCTTGTTCGAGAAATTGATATAAAACTGTGTCAAAATTCTACCAAAACGTATTTATGTAAGATTTTGTACAAGATTTGTAATTTTTAACAGATCATATTCAACAAAAACACAACCAATCTGAAAACAACGATATCCCAAAGGAGCCTGAGAAACTCAAGTTTGCTCTTATTATTATTTGAATTACATAATTTTTAAATTTTAATAGATATATAATTGATAATTTTTTATACGTCCAGAACATGCCACCAGCACTCCAACCAATGGCAGTGCAGTATTATTGTGACGTGCCTCCGTCTATATCACATGACCAATATACTGCACTGTCATTGGAAGGAGTTATGGTCACGTGATACGGACGTATATCTTACATATATACGTTTTGGTATAATTTTGATACAGTTTTATGTCAATTTCTCAGATAGATGTCTTACAGGTATCGTTCAACTCCTGAGATTCTCAGGTTTCAGCCGGTATACCCCATTTCATTTTTCCTTTGCAGTCCCTTTTAGACTAAAAGCAATTATCTTAACAAAATAAATATTGTTCGAATACTTAGTTTTTTTCAAAAAAAAATATTGAATGAATCAAAGTAGTTAACTTTATCACTATGGACTTCAAGACGGTTTCTGGTTTTAGACCAGTCAAATCCAACTGTAGAAAACTTTTGAAGCAATCAATCATTTGCAGTGCTTGTTCTTATATCACAAGTATCAAAAATATTAAAAAACCCAAGAAGATACACAGAACTATATCAATGTTTTAAAAATATGTTGCGATAGAACAAGGATATAAATTTAAAATTCCTCCTTTGTCATTTTTATGTATGATTAAGCTGAAGTTTTTTGGTATTTAACAGTGGTATTCTTTCTTGAGCATATAATATCAACCGATTAATCTAAGTAGCCCCACCACCCCAAAATTGCAGTATTCCCTTATGAAGAAGGGAGGAGATATTTTTGTATTTGAAAAGTATTTACATATGATTATAGCCTATTAAGTTCATCTTTTGCTTAAATAGTCCTATTATTTTGAATCTATCTATATATAAATTTGGCTTGTCTGTCTGTTTGTCTGTCTGTCTATTTGTATCCATAAACGTCAAAACGGCTGAACCGATCGGGCCCAAATTTTTTGTGGGACATCACGTGACCACAGGGAAGGTTTACGAATGATAAAAGTTTTAAAAATGTGTTTTAAAGGTTTTTAATTTTGTAAAAAAAATTTTAATTCTTGAAAATCCGTGAATTTTTTTTTAAAAATCCGCGAATTTTTTTCTTCTTGTTTTAAAATTTAAACAAAAAGAACATGTTCACAATTTAAATAGAAGATGGGCGCAGAATAAATTTTAGTATGTTCTAATTACATTCAAATTAAAAAACTCAAAAAAGCCCCCAAATAAAACAATAAACCCACTGGGCTGGTTTTCTTTTTAAATAAAGTTAATTAATACACTTTAATACACTTTCTATTAAAAGCATCACCCCCCCCCCACTCCACTCTTCAATTCAATTAAACAGTTGTTGTTGTTGTTTGTAGCCCTTTCTATGCTGAATTATCTTCTTGGCCAGTCTTGAGTCCGAGATGGATGTTCACGTCAATAGGGTTGTCCCAGAGCGAGCTGGCAGTCATGGTAGTTTTCTTTGCTGGGCAGTTAAAAATGTGGGTTGTGGTATGAGGGCTCCCAACATATTCAATTGAACTCCCACCCCCCCGCAAAACCTCAAGGAAAAGAAAATTTGTGGGGCTTTTCTCCTCTTACATAAGAATGAAATGATTTTTAAAGATCCGAAAAAAAGATTTGACACGAAAAGTCAAGCTTTTTCCATCCTTTTTCATACATTTTACCCCAAAATTTATAAATTTCCCCCTAAAATTAATCTATTTACCAAATAATCCCCAATATAAACATGAAAGAACACACTAACTTCTGTGAAAAAGAACAGATTTTCAAAGGGTATAGTATAGACCCCTAGCATCAAGTCAATTTTTTTTGCACAAACTAACCTTTCTAGATGACGATGATATGGATTTTTTTGTGACTTGACGCATTGAAATCTGGCTGGATTTGAAGCTTGTAGGAGTAGGCTGGTCAACCTCATCCTGTCCAGCTCTATTCACCTGAAACCGATTTTTGTAAATTGATTAATTTATTTAAGTGGCTTATATTTTGTTGAATAATCATAACTCCCNATGTTTGAATGGAGTTAAAATAAATGTTTCTACCTTATGGAGATAAAAATGGAAAATGGAAAAGAAATAAGGTTGTTTTAAAAAATTTCTTATCCCCCTACCTCCCACCCTTCATGCGATCAAAAACCCATCTGTCCCCTGGGAAGTATTAAATTAAATGAAGAAAACTGAGAAGCTCTTGCGATCAAATGAATTTGAGGGAATTAATTAAACTTGTTTCAAATTATTCGGTTAAAACAAAACTAAGATGATAATAATAATATAATGTAAAATGTCTAATAATAATAAACAGTCGGGCTGAACGTCGCCGCCCACCAAGAAAAACCATTTCCCAGATTAAAATATGACTATCATATATAATGACAATGACAATGACAATGACAACGACAAAGTGACAACGAAAAAGACGATGGCAATGGTGACGATAAGGATCATAATCGTTCCGTGGGAATCAAGGCCGAGCCCCTTTCAAATTCAAATAAAATTTTGTGGCTGAATTTGGTCTTATATGGAATAAGTTATAAATGGTATCATTTAAAATATCATTTTTGGTTTGTTAAAAAACTATTTTATCTATTTTATCACAGCCCAGGGAGTTAACTTGGTACACAATCGGACAGCCCTGAATATCAATCAACAGATGCGTACCTGTATTGTGACTTTGTGTCCGTTATATCTGGGACTAATCTCCTTGTCCTCCCTGAGTATCCTGTCCTCTGTCTCCGGAGTTCCTTCTCCGTCCTGGAAAGGAACCTTGATCCTCACAACCTCGCCCTTGTGGGGCGTAGCACCCTCCATAGACGTGTTCAAGGGGTCCTCCACCCCGTTGGAAGGGTCGGGGTTCTCACCGAAATAATATGTCTTTGACGTCCTTGATCCATGGGAGGATTTAGAACCTTTACTTCCTGTGCGAACCCGTCCGGGATCCACTAAACCATGTGATCTCGGATCCTGATCTTGAGATGATTCTGAACCCCGACTACCAGATCGAGCCTTAGCTTCCCTTCTACTATAGGAGCCATCTACCTTCTCTGCAAATTAAAAGTACGTTGAACTTTCTGTATAATTTGTATTTAAAGGCTCTCCAAGCAAAGATGAAAATATCCGATTCACAGCACGATGTTGATCAAGAATGAAATGGATATAATGTTTAAGATTTTGACAACTTGTTATCTACAAATGTGGTTTCTATACAAAAGTGACTTGCGCATTTCTAATGCAGAAAAATCTCTTAGATTTATAATTGAGAAATAAAAATAGTTTAGAACTAGAAAAACGACAATATTTTCCTCATTCTTGCTTTCAAGGGTACAGTTGTGAATCGGGCCTTGTCCTATCATGGAGGTTTACTTGAAATATCGCTCAAAGTTTCTTTAAAAAGTCAAAATACATTATGTTATAGACAGAAAAATTTTAAACTAGACGTAATTTAAAAAAATAGCCTAACTGTAATAGGGTGAGGGGAAGTTTAGAAAAATGTGACCTCGAATAATTTAAATAATTTTTAGTTTATTCCCTTACTTATACCCTATTATCAGAAAAAATCCGCAAATTGAATTGGAAAAGTTGTTTATTCTCTTAGAGTCTCTTTAAGCGGTGAAGTAAGCATAGAGAGCAAAATATTAGCCTAGACGATATTAAAAAAAACATTAACTATCTGGAATAGGATGAGAAGAAGTTATGGAAATGTGATCTCGAAATTTTGAAAATAATTTTGTGTTTATTCACTTATTTTACCCTGTTTTTTTTTTAGCAAATTAAACTCGAAAAATTGTTTATTCTCCAGAAATAATTGACTATAAAGGAAAAATGAAAGGCGGTATAGGTTGAAACCTAAGCATTTTAGGAGTTGATAGAGACCCATAAGAGTTCTATCTGATGTTCCTGTCTCGAGAAATTGATATAAAATTATACGTAAATTGACATAAAGGTTCACGTTACTCAATGACCTACAGATCCAAATTGGACAAAAAAGGAGTTATCATGAATATTAGCAATTTTGCACAATACATAAATTTCTAAACGTTTTTTAAAATACTGTTCTTCATATTTTGTTTCCTTACGACTATTAAGTATGATTAAAAATGTTGGTATGATACGGCGTATAAACAATATTATAAATTATATCTATTATTGAAGGCTCTATAATAGACTTTAAATCAAATACCATGAACTGGTTTATCACCCTCCTCACAATGGAAACTGGATTACTCATTGCAAACTTCTGACAATGATAGGCAAAAGACACACTCCCCGTGTTTTAAAGCGATGGGAACATGACAGGAACATGGGTCTAGATCAACTCCTAAAATGCTTAGGTTTCAGCTTGTACCCCTTTCATTTTCCCTCTCCAGTCCCTTTAAGAATTTAATTTCCAATTAAGAAAACTGTTAACTGTACCTGTACGTTGATTTATTATGCTTTGTCCGCTACTATTGTTGTCAATTTGATAACTTTGTTGACTAAATTGTTGTTGTTGTTGTTGTGAGGTTGTGTGGGATCTGCTGTTGATCCTATTATCAGGTTTAAATGGGATAAAATGCGGGAATTCTGCCCCTGGCGGGGGTTGTGCGTACTGCAGCGGTACATGGGCGCTATGTCTCTTACGATCATCCTTCAAGAAAAATTAGATAATTTGACTTTGAATTTGTTTTAAAATGATAAAAAATGAAAATAAAATAGTTTTCTTCACAAATTCTGGGAAAATCTTATTTTGGAGTTTCTATTTTTTCTTTTCCTTTTGTTTGTTTTGATGAGGATCGGCACTCAATGGTCTCTGGTCGGCAGGGGAGTGGCGATGAGGGACGGAGAACGGGTGAGGAGTGGATGGGGAGGTGAGGTGGGGGGAGGGTAATGGATGCTGGTTTATATCTAGCTGGTTCAGCAGGGTTAAATACGCGTTGTCGAGTTCATCCTGAAATAAAATAAATCAAATGAATTCTTAAAATAGTTTTACAAAAGATATAACCTCGTCGACAAGGTGAAAAAATAAAATGAACAAGTTTTTAATTTATTATTAGTTTATATACTACGCAATGTTGAGCATAATGATGCGTTATTAACTAGAAAATACATCTATAAATACTTAGATCTTTATGGAGCCTCTTAAAAGCGAATTCTGAAAAAAATGATAAAAAATGACACCCAGCATTTATCTTAAAAAACCTTAAATTGTTGAATTTTTAACTAAATTTAGAAAATAGAAAAATACAGGAGAGAAACAAACATATTTAGTTCATGTTCTTGCCAATTAGTCTCCAAGTAAAAATTGACTAGCAGTACGTCAAGAAATAAAATATAAAAAAACTAAATCTTTATTTTCCCTGAAAAATTTATTCATTTTAGTGCGTGCGAAAAATTTCAAATTATAAATTGAAAAATCAAGCTTGCAATGCAGAAACCACAAAAATTGGGTTAAAAAAAAATTGCAAAAAAAAACAGTGAGAAATAAAGGATTTTTTAATTTGTAAAACATAGCTGACTTTTTGTTCATTCATTTAAAGATACAAATAACAAGCTGTGTCTAACAAAGGAATATTTTTTCTTAAAAATTTTTTCCCCCTGCTCTATAAAATTATTTCCCTCCCCACAAATTACAAATGTTTGCGCTTAGGGCCATGAATTCAAAAAAGGGGGAATAGCTAAAAACCTGCGAAATAAAGGCCATTTTAATTAAAGAACACATTTTTTTTACATTTACAAAATTTTGTTGGTATTTTTTATTAGTGAACAATATTTCTGAGGAAAATTTTATCTGATTTATTATGACGTGGTAATGCCTCTAGACTCTCTAGAGGCAGCAAAAACCAACCCTGCTCAAATTTGTTGTTTTAATTTGAAATTAAAAAGCTTTCACTAGATGGTATTAACGTATAATTAAAAGTTCTTATAATATAAATTCAGGTTGGGTTAGGAAGAAAAACATAACGGCTTTCCCCGTTAACGGAAAGATGCCCAGGCCGTTGTATACCTATAAAGATCAGCTGTGTTTACAAGAAAAAAAAACAAAACATGAAATAAAATAGAGAACTACGTACAGTATCCTTGTACCATTGTAGGAACATCAGATGCAACTAAATTAAATGATAACTTATTGCTGGTTCAGATTTTGTTTTCTAGTAAATTATTTCTTTTCAGTCAAACAATTTGGAAAAAAATACCGGAAATACAAAATATCTATATTTGGTCTTAAAAATTTCAGCAAATAAGCTGGCATATGCAGAAATCATAAATATTAAAATTGAATATTTTGCCCCTACTATACCCTACCCTACAATCCTTTGTAGCACCTGTTCTTTAGAAGGAGGGAGAGGGGAAGGGGGAAGAATAGGGTGATGTCGTTCAGCAGGGGTTTGGCTGCGGCTCTGAAAATATTGTTGACAAATTATTATTATTAATATTATGATTGGACAACCCGTTATTGAAGTACTTTAATATATACTAGCTTGGGAACCCAGCTTTGCCCGGAGATCTTAAGAGTTTTTCAAGCGAAAAACTAGGAACGTTCTCATGATTCAACCGTGTTCTCTAATAAAAATTTAAGGCAAATCAGTCAAGGGATTCATGATCTATGATCCGACATCCAAACAGACAAACTTTTGTTTTGTCTTTTGTATTATGAAGTTTACTTTTTTAGCAGAAAGCGACTAATGAAGTTCTGCTGCAGAGACAGTAAGGAAATATATGTGTCATAGTTTCAGGTTTCTCAATAAATAGTTGTGAATCGATGATGGTGATTGGTAATCTTAAATTGTAAGTTTGTTTGAGCTCCCTCCCATTTATATATATATATAATTATATAAAAAATGTTTTAGTATTTCCGGTCATATATTCAGAACCCATTGATCTATTTGAGCTCCCCCCGCCCCTAAATCTTTTTATCTTATGAGGACTATGTATTGTTTATAGCCTCAGTCATTGCTCATTCCAATAACTGTAGATGGAAGGGGGGCTGTGCTAATTGGCCGCTCCTTAAAAGGGGGGGGGGCTGAAACCCCATAGCCCACCTGAATTCGCCTCTGAGCACTATCTACTGTATATATATCCTACTTACCCCTATATTACTCCTACTCCTATGAGGTCATCTATTGTTTATATATCCTACTAAACCTACCGCTAGATTACTCCTACTCCTATGAGGAATTTCTATTGTTTATATATATCCTACTAAACCTACCCCTAGATTACTCCTACTCCTATGAGGACTATCTAATGTATATATATCCTACTAAACCTACCCCTAGATTACTCCTACTCCTATGATGACTATCTATTATATACATATATATCCTACTAAACCTACCCCTAGATTACTCCTACTCCTATGAGGACTATCTATTGTATACATATATATCCTACTAAACCTACCCCTAGATTACTCCTACTCCTATGAGGACTATCTATTGATATATCTTGTTCAAGTAGATCACTGTGATGATCCTCAGTGTCAGGTTCTCCGCTCACAGTTTCATTTAAACTAAAAAAAATATTATTTAAAAAATATATTCAACTAAAATAATTAATATGTAAAAAAAAATAAAAAATAAGCATTAAACTGAAGGACAAATTCATGCTAAATCCAAAGAAAAATCGTTTTATTACAAATACAGCAAATTTTTGAAACATCATAATGATTTTAATATAAATTTAATAAACTACCTATGATCAAAAGATCCTTCATCTATCGAGGTCTGACTGTCAATATGTTCTAGTTTTCTAGCTACTTCATTTTCCCTCTACAACAAAATAAGGTTAGGAACAGCGGTGTTTTTAGGGTGGCTCAGCTTCCCTGGACCAGTGCAATCTATGGTTTTCAGGGTGGCTCAGCTTCCCCTGGACCAGTGCAATCAATAGTTTTCAGGGTGGCTCAGCTCCCCCTGGACAAGTGCAATCTATGGCTTTATTTACCTCATCCTGGTT